TATATTCACTATTTTTTGTTTAATTTGCATAATATAGCAATACGGTAAATTTTTATTTTATTTTTTATTTTTTAAGCCATTGTGTCAAAAAAGCTTTTTGTGCGATCTAATTTAACATTCTCAAACAATTTTATTTATAAGAAAATGGATCTCGGTTCATGTCCCAAAATCCATTCAGAACGATTAAAAACCGAATATGAAGAAGCAAAACAAAAAAAAGTATGCGATTTTGATTTAGAGTTTGAACGTAACCTAGGCAATTTTGTGTCAGATTGCGATCGAAAAATCGCGAGCGCACAGAAACGCTTGGATAAAACTCCTGAAGATAGTGCAAAAGTCTCTCAATTGGTGAGGCAGTGTTTAATAAAAAATCTGCTATATGATTCAATGACAATATTAAATGTGTATGTTTCTATTTCTATAGACAAGAGAAATTGAAAATTTGTCAACCGAAATATCAGAAATGACTAAAGAAGTGGAAGTTCTGGGTAAAATGTTTATTTAATTTCTATTTAAATCTTGAAAATATGGATAAAAATTGATGCATAAAAAGTTATTTCTGCTTGCAAATATCTTTTCTTCAGGTGAAGAAGGCAAAGTCGCTGAGTCGATGAAATTATTACAAGATGTTGAAGCAAAGAAGGCAGCAAAACTCGAAAAAGAGGTAGAGCATTAACTTATTATATTCTTAATATATATATGTATTTTTAACATTATGATAATTATATAGAAAGAGCTTAAAAATTCTGCAGAAGGTGGGGGTCCTTCTCAGCAGCAAAAGTTGCGAGTCTGTGAAGTATGCAGTGCCTATTTATCAATATTTGATTCGGATAGACGGTATGGTTATCTTTTATTTTACACTAATGAGACATTATTATGTTTGAAATTAATTCAATAAGATATATATTCTTTGCATAGTTTGGCAGATCACTTTGGTGGAAAGGTATTTATTTATTTATTTATTTATTTTGAAAGATTTTCTTATTTTGATTTGTTCTGTGTATACTTGCTACTTGGTTCAGATGCATCTTGGATATTTAAAAATACGAGATTTATTGAAAGAACTCAGGGAGAAACATAAAGATCGTCGTAGTGATTCAAGAGAAGGGAGAGGTTATCAAGATCGTGATAGAGATCGAGGTTACGATCGTGACAACAGGCACAGCCGTGGAAGATTTGATTAGTATGTTATTATATCACTTATTTCTTTTTTAAAAAAGGCTTAGTGATATTTATTACCGTTTCTTTAATCTACAGTGATAGGCGAACTACTCGTGACCATCGCTCGCGATCGAGATCCCCCGATAGACGTGTTGGTAGAAGGAGGTCTCGAAGTCCTCCGAGAAGAAGATATTAACATCCTACTGAAGTATAGTCACTGTAAAATTATCAGGCATTATTAATTCATCTGATCTTTAAATCACATTTTAGTGAATTAGCGTTTTAGTGGTAGTTATCATATGAATTGAAAAATTGGAAAACTTTTAGATTTATATGTTCACAATTTTAGCTGCCATTTATATAGAACAGGATTAAGCAATTTATATTAAGTCGTTTTCGCATTCCATTTTACTCTATGTTCTGTTGTAATTAAACGCCCTTATAGGTTGTAATAGCTTTTCATTTTATACATATGAATGAATTAATAGAATAATTAAAATAAAAACGGCAAATCCTGAAATTACAGGATCCCGAATCGTCGGTTGTGGGGGCTTATTCATTAAATCGGATAAGGTATCAATCCCGTTATGCACGTGATAAAAATGATTTGAGATCTATTAACGTATTACCGTTACATTTACGTAACTGCGTCAATAACGGATTCCCTTAGTCAAGAAAATCCCGGGCTAAGGATCTACAAAAATAGGCTCGGAGCCAATAAAAATTGCAGGATCTTGCAGATCTTGCAGATCTTAACGTAAATCTAAACAAACGCCAAAA